CAGCATGGAGGGAAAATTCTCGGAATAAGACCACTCGAGAAATGTATTGAATACATGCCCTAGCTGCCAAGTAATTCAAGTGAGAGGTCATTTTTTCCTTCGGCAAATGGCAAGAAATTTCATACCCTCTTTAATGCACCAACAAAACATAGATGACCAATGACGAAAATAAACAGAGATGCTCACATTGAATAGCCATTTCAACTTAAGAAAGCCTCCATAGAAGAGATACAGTGGGTTAGGATTGACAATTGAGTTGAGTTATTCGGGCTCGGTTTGGATCTTACTCGGGGTCTGTTCGTGTTTTAAATGTGTCGAATTTGAATAATTTTTTATATTTGTTTAGAAAATGAGTATAAAAGGCTTGATTCGTTTTTATGTAAAATAATCAAGCTACTCGACTCGGCTCGTTTAATGAATTGAACTTAAACAACACTTTAGGCTAGTTTAAAAAAACGAGTTCGACAAGCTCGACTCGATTATCCGCCCTACAATGGATTGTTAGTGTTTTGTTCTACTTCTACCCCATTCAACTCCTTGGAGTCCTATGAATCAATCCGTGGGGATGTTTCTAACCTAGTCTAGAGAGTAAATTGGTGTACCTGCTTTTGACTCGCAACTTGAAATTTAAGCCTTTAACCTCAAAAGACAATTCAAGTAATAATAAAGACGAATTGTAAATTTAAACGTCCTGAGTTTGAATCTTGATAATCTCTTAAGAACAGATTATGAGAGATTTATCCCTCATAAATATTCTAAACTCGGCATGGATGGTTTGTCTTCAACAGGATTGGAGAGAAAGTTAGTTGAAATGTACAAAAATTAACCTGAATACCTCTAACCGTTGAACTAAAAAAAAGAAAGAAAATAAATCTAAGGGGCTGTTTGGAAAAGGGGTAAGGGGGGTTTGACAAGATAGGTTTGGGAAAAATAGTTCAAAGATCTTAAAATTCAAAGTTTGGATTGAAAATTCAATATTGGATATCTAAACCCGACCCGTAGTTAACCCGAATATTAAACTCATGATCATGAGTTTCATCAAACTTAAGGGGGACGTGGGTTTGGAATGATGGATTAAGAGGTTAAAGATGCAAAAATAATTGTATCCCTTAACATGAGTATGAATTGGATTGATCAAAGGTAAAATAATAATTTATAAGACAAATAATTATTAATAATTATGATATATCCGTAAGTCCTATATATGTATATGTTGCATTTCAAATATAGGTATAAACCGAATTTAATGTTGAATCATTTCTTTGTCAAGAATAGTTTGGATTTAGAAGGGTCTTGAAAAATCAATCTAAATCCACCCCAAAAATCCATCCGCACCAAAGGAGATCAGGTCATAAACTTTCCATAAAAGGCCGAATCGGACTGACATTGGGTCAGTTTTGTTCAACTTTATTGGAAGTTACTAAGTGTGGCTCACAAAGGTGGAGTGTTTTTACTTTCATAGTAAGAACTTTGTGACCTCATTTGGTGTGGGAAGAGGAGATTGAAGCTTGGATTGTGATTTTCCAATATGTGGACAGGAATTTTCAATACTCGGATTAGATTTGGATAAGCAATCCTAACCTAATTTGGATTTGGGTGGTATTGGGATTGGGATCTTAGGTTTTTGGAACATAATTTTAAGTTACTAAATTCTAGTCAATCTAAAATCAAACTCGAATTTGTAACTCTAGAATCGAACTCAAATTCAGCCTTGTAATTGGACATGAATTTCAATGTTAGTTGTTTAACATGAGTTCAATCAAAGTCAAAACACGAGTATTACTTAATGGTTGGGCCCAAATCGAATGTTTATAACTTTAATTCAATCTGAGTTGACTATTGTTCAACCCATTTGATTTGCTCCCCTAATTGAACCTCAAAATCAAGTTGGAAACTTAGAAAGAACCTACTTTTCCCAAATGACCTCCTCACAAGGATGGAGTGAAAGACCAACCCCGATATAGCTTAAGTGGTAATAGGGGCGAACCGTAAATTTAGACGTTCTGGTTTAAATCTTGACAATTTCTTGGAGTTAGACCATAAGAGATTTATCCCTCATTAATTCTTTAGACCCGACGTGGATGTCCTGCCTTTGACCAGACCGAAGAAGTGATTAGTCAAAATATAAGTAAACTGGTCCGGACACCTCTGACCATTGAAATAAAAAAAAAAAAACCTCACACAAACTAGGGTAGTGTCCCTTATAGGGTTCATTGTTTGCCCTACAAGTACGTCATTCAATGTGAAGAGGAAGATGAATTTCCAACATGGCAGACATATTGTTGACTATGTGGGTTTATGGGGCATGTGCGCTGGAGCCCAGGGTTCCTTGAGAGTTTGACAATGTGGAAGTGGAGGAAGGCACAGTGAACGCCATAGACCGGTGGGGGGGAGAGAGAGAGTGGCCTACACCTTGTAATTGCAGTGTCAACTCTTTGGGAGGTTTTGGTGACCAAACTTACAAACTCAGCTAACATAGCTTAAACCCTTAGAAGCTTGAAGCCTAAGAAGCCCGATCGACCATCGTCTATCGGGGGTATATATCCAATACAATATGGTTATCAACACGTAGAATCATTATCTGATAACAAGTTAATAACAAAAAAAAAGGGAAAGCCTTTTAACACTTCTAGTTGTTGAGAAATTCAGACTCATTCAACATACACAGAGTGCAGACATAATCAAAAAAAGCAAAGAAACACATCCACACAAGTTTTTATCAATGTCAGAAGAGAAAAATAAACCATTTACACAAGTAAGCTCTGCTTCCCTGTTTTCTTTTGTTGGTGTCCCACCTCAATCCCATTTTCAAGTTTCATTGTTCTAAGACCCCCCCCCCCCCCCCACCCCCAAAAAAAAATCTCTTAGTGCCACCAGAAAGGCTTCAACCTCTGACCTTCATGAAAAGTCATGGGACCATTAGATGGTGTCAATTGGCTAATCATAAGGGTGCTAATTGATTTGTGTTTGTCCAGTTTGAGTATGCTTAAATTCTACTATTGTGAAGTTTAGATTGCTATTCAAGCTCGCTTATCTTAGAAGTTGGAAAGCATTCAAACAGATAAAATAAATAATTTTTCTATAATAATATCTCTCAACAGTTATAATTTTTTGGAATTTCTCAACATTTATAATAAAACCATAAATCAAACACTAATAAAATTTGAATTTCCTAAGATTTATTATAGGATTAAGGGGGAAAGAAGTGTTCAAGATATATAGTAATTCGATGATAAATTTGAAATACAAGTTGTTTGACAATAAAATTTGAATTCATTCAGATTCTAGTTGCATCGTAATTTAAAAGAGCATCAACGATTTACAATCAAACCAAACACAAACTACTTAGATGCATTAATAGCCTGGCTAACCAGATTGTGGTCCAAACACCATCACTTGCTCACTACACAAGCATTTACGAGTGATGATGACATACTAACACAATTTTCTTGAGACTGTGAATCTTCCTTAAGAGACCAGTAATTGAAAACAATGCATAGTTTTTACCATTCGGCCAATACATATTACCTAGTGAGTTTCATGAATCAAAATCACCATCACTAATTCATTACACCACATATATATATATATATATTAGAGAGAATTCCCACTGTTGTAGGGTATTAGAGAGAATTAAATGTACGGAGCTTCATCTCCGCAAAACGGAGAGGCTATTTCTTCGACTCCAATCCTTGGCGAATGAGTCAGAAGAATAGAGATAGTTACTGAATGAGCTCAAAATATATTTGTTCTTGATTAGACCGTTGAATGAAAATACGTGGCAAGCAGCAGGTGCAAAGTAATAAAGAGGGTTGTCTGGTGAGATAGACTGCCTCTGATCGAGCTAAACGGATCCAACTGAATAGATTTAAGAATAAGCTAACCAGAATTGAAACCACTTAAAACGAACGGTTCGGTTGACAATATTCAGCAGCAGCGTGTGTGCGTCAAGTAGAGATGAATAAAGAAGTTGCTTATTTAAAAGTGCACATTATTAACATATGACAAAAAAAAAAAAAAATGTACTAATAAGAATAAAAAACTAAAAGGATTCAAACACCAAGTAAGGAATGTATGGCTGGAATCTAAGTGTGCCACCATATTCTAACAAAATTTCTAAAGTCCTATGAAATCGCGATATGCTCCTATTAATTGCATCATTTTGATCTCTAAAACATTGAATATGTTTTTATATGGTCTCTCAAGCAGACAGCGTCTAGATTGCTAACGATTTTTTATTATAAACTTGTCACGTGATACTTAAATATGAACAAAAAAATAATTTAGATAATTCTTAACCAAATTTCTATTCAAATTACATAGTTTTAATCATAAACCATCTAAATTTTTGTCAAAAACTACCCATATTACACATTAGTTAAGAGTTATTCAAATTTTGTTTAAAAGCTATCAAAATAATTTTTTTTTTTATCCATATTTAGGTATTACATAATAAGTTTATGATAAAAAATAATTAGTAATTTGAACGTTGTCTACTTGAAGGACAATATAAAAAATGTTTCTATACTTGAGAGACAAAAATGATACAATTGAAACATTAAGGACCAAAATGAGATAAATCTCATACTTTGGGGATTTCCTGTGCAATTAACCCAATTTTTTTTATAGTCTTTTTTTGATTTGTTTGAAGTCATTAATTTTAAAATAAAAAAAGTTATACGTGTTTAAAGTTTTTAAGGTCAAGAATGAGTCGAAAAAAAAAGAAAAAAGTGATGATGATGATGATGTGAGAACACTATGAGCAGCAACTTAATTTTCAGTTGCCAACTAATAATTAATTAGGTTTAAAGTTTAAACAAATCTCCCTCGGAATCCAAATATGTCTGTTTATGAAAAAGTTATAATTTTCCAAACCTTACTCACCAGTTTTGATTAATTCTTCTTTTGTGTTTTTCGGTAAACCAACCTGTCTCTTTATCCTTTTTAATGATTCTCCTACTAATGTTCGCTTTCAAACCGCGTCTCACCATTTCTCTCCTTGACTCCCTCTCCCTCTCTCCCTCTCCAAATTAATAAATGCTCAGATGAGAAAATTACAGAGGCACTAAAATCCCCATTACTCTCTATCTCTCTCTCTGATATAAAAACACCCACCCCAAGGACTCTCATCTCATCCCATGTCTTCTTCTTCTGTCTCTCAAACGCTGAGGAAAAAACAAGACTTTCCCTTTGTTTTCCTCACCAGATCCTTCAATTTTCATCACAAACACTTACCAAAAAACGTCTGAGAGTCCCGTAAGGGCACAAAAACCCCTTTCTTACAATTCCCCATATATATACACACACACAGATATATCTATATCTATATATGTAACTATACATACAGGTCTATACATATATATATATATAGGGAGAGAGAGAGAGAGAGAGAGAGAGAGAGAGGAGGAAATGAGGTGTAAGAAACACGTTACCGACCTCAGTAGCAGCGTCGGCGTGTGCGCTTCTTGCCTCCGGGAACGTCTCTTTGCTCTGATCGCGGCCCAGGCCCACAAAACTCGGGTCCAACAAGAGCAGCATGTGGCAAGAGAGAATTATCACCGGAAATCTGATACACAACCACCGCCACTGATTTTTCCGAGGTCGGTCTCACCGTATATTTCTCGCCGGAAATCTGACAACGCCACCACGTGGCCTCACCACCACCACCACCAGTGTATCAGATCAACTGTTCTACAGTACTCCACAAGTGGGCCCCAATGGTACGTTTGTCGTTGCGAAGAAGAAGAAGAAGCACAGATTCTCTTTCCTCTCGAGTCTTTTCAGATCCAATTCGGAGACGCCTGACGCGGACCCTAGGGTTTCGGTTTCGGATTTTCGGGAACCTTATCCGGCCTCATCCTCATCGCCGTCTTGGTTTTCTACGATGCTGTCCGGACGCCAGAAAAAGCAATCGAGGACGTTCTCAGTTGATGAATCAACGGTTAGTGGCTATCGAAGAACTAACCGGACTGTAGATCGAGGAATGTCGCCAGCGAGATACTCAGGGGAGGAAGAAGAAGAGCAATGCTATGACAGATCGAGTGGATATTCATCAGAATCATCCCAGGGGTGGAAACAAACGCCGGGGAGGACCACAGCGGCGCCTCAGGTACGAAGAGGAGGTGTACGGCAAAGTCATAGTCGGAATGTATCAGGATTAGCGTTCTGTCTGAGTCCGTTGGTCCGTGCGAGTCCAAATCGGCACTGGAATCAGAAGGGAATGCCGCCGGAGATGGCAGTTTCCGGAGAGTTAAGGGCTCCGGTTAAACCTCCTCCTTCAAATGCGACGTCGTTTTGTAAAAATAGATCAAGAAAGCTCGCGGATTTCGGGAGGTTCAATCATGACCATTGATTTCGACGACCGTTGACATTGACCATAAACGACGGTAGTGATTTTATGATGGTACTTAGATTTAAAAGTACGGTTGTACCCTTATTGTTTTGCCATTTTTACTTTAAAGTTTATTTCTTTTCTGCTGTACACTTTGCATTAAATACGAGACAAATAAACATTATAGTTTTGCTTTCTCTTTGCAATTGCAAGATGTTTAATTTTATTTAATTATTAAAAAATATTTTCTCTTTATTTTTTTCTGATCATCAGTAGAGCACTCACTATATATATATATATATATATTAAGAAATTGTTTACAAATAATCAAGTCAACTCATAAAGTTTTCTTTTACAATTTAGAATCAACTTCTATTAGTAAATAATGGAACTCACTTAAATCGTACAATCGAGAGTAAAATGTACAATTTAAAAAAAATAAAAATAAAAACTATATTTAATTGGCTCGAGTGCTATGTTGCTAAGGACCATGATGGATAGTGTATCCCATTTCAATTACTTTTTTTTTATCAGACATTATTATCGGGAGTCGATCATAAAATTTAAACTCTCAATCTTAAGTTCTAATACCAAAAGTCTGGAGTTATTTATTACAATGTCACAAATTTTAAACTTTATTACCAATTTATAGTATTTTTGGGCGTAATTACTAAACTAAGATATTTTTAAAAACGAATTCAATAATCTCTTTTTTATTAGAAAGCAAAAACCAAAAGCGGAGTCAATATCTTTGTTTTTAAATAAAAAATTTGATCTAAATAAAAAAAAAAAATTGTGGACAACAGGGAAAAAGTGTGTTTACTAAACACAATTTGAAGCAAAAGCAAAATAAGAAACGTGGTTAGTAAACACGATTTGGACCTATAAAGACTGCAACTGAATATTGTGGACTGTAGGTGAACACGTTTTTCTTGAAATGTGTGTTTAGTAAACAAGCTTTCAGGTTTTTCATTTGCAATCACTGGTCTGGAACTACTGATCACATTTTTTAATTTGAAAGAAGGGCTATTAATCTCGTTTTTAAACAAAAATGGGGTTATTGACTCTATTTTTAAAAATTGTCCTAGTTTAATAATTAAATTCAAAAGTACAGTAATCGATAATAAAATTCAAAAATTGCATCATTGTTATAAATAACTCTAAAAACATGATCATTAGATTGATCGCTAATTTTTATTGCATTTCAAGTACAATTAAGAGTGTTAATCGAGACGAGGTACTCGGGTTCAGATCAAATAAAACTCAGCTCGAGTTCGAATTGTGTTCTACACGAGCTGAACTTTTAAACGATTTTTTAGAGTCGTTTACATATAAAACAACCGAGCTACTCGAGTTTGGCTTCGACTTAGACTTTGCTCGACATCTCCGAATTTAAATAATTTTTTAAGTTCGTTCAAGAAAATAAACTTGTAAAATTTAAATTGAAGCTCACAAAATTGGACTCAATTACCATCGTTTAAAAGGTACAATATTTGAAGTTTCTTATGAGATTTGGGAAAACTATACCTTTGACGTTGCTTGGATCCACCATTATAGAAGAGGGAAAAAATGGGCAATGAAAGTAATTAGAATAATGGTAGTGGGTGGAGACATGGTCCCACTCATTAAAGTTAGTGCTTTAATATGTGTATGTGTATTTATACCAGAGTGAATACTGTGTACCAACCACTCTCTCCTGTCCTGTGTATCCTTAATGGTAGAGGAGACAGTCAGAAGAGTAGAAATATAAGGTCCAGAGTATTAATACTTCATCCCAACTGAACAAATGCTGGTTTGGGATTGGGATGCGCAATGACCGAGTCCTCATAGATAACCGAATTTCTAAGTAGTGTGGTGTCAAAATTTGTAAATTTATAATTATTTTTTTATTCATGTATATTTTGTTCTTGTCAATTGTCAATCGTCAATCTATGTATATTCGATTCGTGTCAATTTAGAATCATAATCATCTGAACTGGTAATCTAGTGATAAGTCGTACTCGTTTATGAACGTCTTTAATTTTTATGTAATTATCAACCATAATTCGATTAACGGGAATATTGCGGTTTGCTACTTGATTTTAATGATACTATCCACAATGGAGGACCCTCGTGATCACGTCCCTTTGTTCTCGTTAAAAAAGAGAAAAAAAATTATGATCATGAATTTTATTTTATACATGATTATTTTAGTTGGTATTTGGATTTTTTAGTCGAAATTAATGTAATTGATGTTGGGTGATTTGCAACTTAAAAAATAAAAGTCTAATGTACGAGTTTTTCGTCATCGTAGAGTTTGAGAAAAATAAGTCTAAAATATATATGGCTTTATCTAATAAAATGAATTTATACCTAATTACTACTTCATATTAATTATGTGCCTGAGTTAATGGTTGGTATTAGCATTGTCTGTTTTGATAGGTTGTCAATTCTTAGCAGGATTGGTGAATTTAAAACAAAATTGACTTGAAATTATTTGTAAAAATGTAATTTTAACGAGTTGTTGTCATAAAAAGATGGGTCTCTCAACCCCTTTTAACGTGGTTTTCAACCTGTATGCAATGAATTACGATATAATTTTAATTAAATATGATAAAATTTTTAAATATAATTATAAAATAATTATAAGTTAAATACTTTAAATTAATTTAGCGCAAAACTATTTAAAAACACGACATGATACGACAAAGTTTATTGAGGGCCATGGGTGATTGGTGCATCTAATTCTCAATTTCTATATCTTACCCTATGGCCTGTGGGATCTGACCGGGGTGAACCGGCGTCCAATTGGGGAGTAAATAGTACGTGTAATCGTTATATCATAATTAATTTGGTGGGTCTGATCTAATATGACCAAACTTTCCAAGGACTGTCATAAAATCTAGTACCTTCTTTTGACAGGTGCAATTTCCAAGAACAGACCGTTAGATTTGAAGTAAAGTGATGGACTTTAATGTGCGAACTTCGGTTTAAATAAAAAGACTTGAGATTAAAGTTGGAGGAGAATTGCAATTTACACTTTGATTTTTTTTTTTAAATTTTTTTTATACCTTTAAAAATTAATTATTTCACATTGATGCATTTATGTAAAGCTAACACCCTCAATACATTGATACATTAGTTCTCCGGTAGTTTTTTTTGTTTGTGTTAATGGGTTGACTTTTTAACGTATAAAATAACGAAAACTAATAGAAGAGTCACATTGTAACATTTTTGATACATTAAAAATAAAATATAAGAAATTTAATCTATAAAGGTATAAAATGAAAAATTAAAAAAAAATTGGGTGCAAAATGTGAAAAGCACTAAAGTTGGTCTAGAGGGTCTTTTTGTTTCTTTTTCTTTTTCTTTAATAAGTCTGTTAGATTGTCCCCATTTCAAAATCATCTATTTTGACTAATATAAACCATGTTCTGTGCTTGATTGGGATGTGGGAGTGGCATCCAAGTACTAAATTTCAAAATCTAACAGACCATTTATGCTTGAAATTGAAGAAAAAGTAGAAGTTTTCTTTTAATTTGGGTGGTTTTTATTTTTCATTTTCTGATGGATACGATTCAACTTTTGGAAAGAAAAGTTAATTTGATTGGTCAATCTCTTAGAACAACCTATACCTAGTGGTCATTTATAGCTTCCTTTTTTTTTTTGGACTTCAACTTTTGTATCAAGTAACTAATGCTAATTTGATTTACAAAAATAAAACAGTTGGTATTTTTTTTTCAATTGTCAGGGGTGTTTGGGTCAACTTTTATACACATCGATTAATCCTTTCTTTGCTTCAGTCAAAACAGGTCATCCACCGAAAATAGAATATTCATGAGAAATAATTTATATTGATGAATTTACAACTCGTCTCTATTATCGTTTGAAATAATCCTTGAGATTAACAGCCAATTTTTCAAAGTCCTTGGTTTTCCTTTATACGAAAGGCTAGACTTTGGTATCGATATTGAATATTAATTTTTTAGTATTAAATTTTCACTGTTCCACTTTTTGCCTAATTAAAACAATATGGGTAATAAGTTATATTATTCTTGTTACTATTAATAGTTACAACTATTCTAAACTAAATTACTTTCCAAAAAGAAAAAAAAAATCAAAGCATGAGCAAAGGTCATGAATTATTTTTTAGTATGATATTAAAAAAATATTTTTTGGTACAATAATATTATCGTAAGGCAAAAAAAAAAAAAAACACTAGATTTGGGCATCAAATCTGAACCTAGGAGGCTTGTAAGCTCAAACAAGAAAGTGGGTACTCTCTTCCCCTTTTGGATTGAGACAGATGGGTAATTGGAGTGAGCTGTACGCAGCCTAGTTATAGTTACTGGTCCAACATTTATTGACCAAACAATGCCAAACCAACCTGATTAATGCAATTTAATATTTTCACATTGGGTTTTACAGACTTTAAGTGTGTTGAAATTGATTTTTCTTATCGAGTAATCTTTGATTTAAATGTATTTCTTCTCTTGTGAAAATTTTGCCTTCTTTAGTTCAATGACTCAAGTCTCTTGAATGACAAAAAAACGTTGTTGGTTGGTGGGACGGATCTTAATTATTTGGACAAACCGTATCTAAATCTCTGGTGTGAGTTCAAATCTCTACCGAAATACAAATTTTAATTTAATTGGTATATGAATTGAGGAACCAGTTCATGGACCCGGGTTTACCCTCGATTCTACTCAAACTCACGAGCCTGAATGACGTAAACGTGTCACTACTTATCGGAGCTAGACCCCATTTAAAAAAAAGATATTGATTTTTCCTCATATGGGATCCACAATTTCTAGGTGATCATTAGATACACTCTCTTTTCCTGTGTGATCATAAATAGATATGCATTGCACCAAATTGTTCACCCAAAAAAGGGCAAATGAAGTGGAGAGAATGATAGGAACATCTTATCTTGGAGTGGAATGGTTGACAGTTTATGACACATCTATATGCTTTCCAACTATTGGTATCTTGGACTAAGGCATGTCAATGGATTTTTCATGGGAAATCCATTAGTTACAAAT